TTCAAGCATTTCGTGTTCTTAAGACAGCCGTGTATCATATTGATTTTTGTTAGATAGGTACTAGGACTACATTAATGCGTGGAGTATTCAGTTCTTTTAAAGAATCCTGTTTTAGATTCGACATCGTTTAGTTTTAGTCATTTATAAGACGTAGTAATTATCAGTTTTTAATTTTTCTTCTTCAACTAGTGTGAATGTTAAAACTTCAGCTTACACATAATTATAATTAAAATCAAACAATACTATAACCTACATAATATTCTCCGAAGGTGTTCTAATATCACAACCCACGCAGTTTTCTAAGTAGAGTATATTAACTAGTTCGACTACTAGATTAATATGGAAATTACAACACCCCACGTTGTTGAAATGTACCGATCTACATAATATAGTCTCCATAGTACCAATTCAATTCTGTGCTTAACTACTTTCAGTCCACTTCATATCCATACAGACTACACATACATAGCAACATGCAACACCATCAATAGATAAATAAAATTCTAGTGTCTGTTTGTAAGATTAAAATATCCGCTTTTTACTACATGCATGTGAATACACGTACCAAAATATTTTTTTCACAACTTTTATGTGTCAAATCAAATCAAATCAAATCAATTGTCTTTATTTGCTGAACAGAGGTGTAGTACATAATTAGTGACTAAGGTGTTATTTATTTTTGTTACATATTGTATCTCTTTGTCTGTCTGTTTGTACTGGCAAATCTCTGGAATGGCTGGACCGATTTGGACGGGAATTTTATTTGCAGTTAGCTGATGTACTAAGGAGTTACATAGACTATTTTTATTTTGGACAAAAAAGTTTTGCCCTAAAGTTCATGCTCTACGCAGATGAAGTCGCTAGCAACAGCTACTTACACTTCGTATATAAAATACATATTTGTATTATCCGAGTTTATTTCAACGCAAATTCTATACCAAAGATAGGGAAGTATTGATTTCATATTATCCTGTTACAAAATAAGCTTTGTAGAATAAATCGTGCAAGGAAATAACAATTTGTTAAATGTAGGCCCCGGCGGGAAATGTTGCAGAGTCATCTCAACGATTCATGTTTACTTCGCTTTGTATCGAGTATCGATTAACACTTTACACTTTTATCGATTATCCGTTTTGAAAGGAATATTAATCGTTGAAGTTTAATCCTTATTGTGAATGGTATTGGGTATTGTATAAGTTTGCGCTTTATCGTTTTGATGAATATAGTTAGCCTAGTGCTAAAATTTGCGAGCACTTAGTTAATCTCGCGTAAACTATAAATTATCCGTGAAATATTTAAACTTACTTAAATGAATGGGGCCGTCGGTAGAGGGCGCCCTAGACGGTCATATACTAGTCACGGACTAGATTGGTGATATATTAAAGAAGGGCAAAATTAAAAGTACCCTTAACCAATGAGCATACATGAAAAGATTGATGACTGTTGATGAAGCGATAAAGGAATGTAGGAATCGTAGTAATTGGCGTTCCATGGTCTCTGCCTACCCCCATGGGAGACAGGCGTAAAGTTATGTATGTATGTACTTAACCAGTGCTGGTTACAATTAATCACACTAATATTACAAATGTGAAAGTATCTTTGTTCCAATGTTTGTCCGTCAATCACGCTGAAACTGATGAACGGACTTTGATGAAATTTGATATACCGGCAGGGTATGGGCTGTCTTCGGTGATAGGACTTTTTATCCCGATTAAATGCTTTCATGGAATAAAACAGAAATCATATTCTACGCGGATGTAGTCGCGGGCAACAGCTAGTATAATTATAATTATTGTAATTTTAAAGTTCTAAAATGGTACCTAGCCCCATTGCACATGTACTCAAAATTATAATTTTCATAAAGTTTCTAAATTCAATAGCAGCAAGCAAACTGCTGGCGAGGCAAGCCTCAGCGGACGACTTGCAATTTGAATATCAAATAAATCTACTGCTGCTCCTTCGAAACTAAACTTTTCTGTTTGCACACCACTCTTTACAACTGTATTCATTATAAAATAGCAGTTTGTGTTAAACTTGGGAAGATGGATATCTTATATCTATGCATTTAATAAAACTGTAGAATTGTAAATTCTGCAAATTGAAAATATAATGATAACCTCCTCCTTTTTTGGAAGTCGGTTAATAAAAAAATATATGTAGTACAGGGTGTTATTAGACTGAACCCAAAAATCGGATTTTTTTGTATGTGTGTCTGGCTGGCTGTCTGTCTGTCTCTCTGTATATTCACGCATCACGCAAAAACTTTCAGTCCGATTATGATGAAACTTGATATGGTTATACTTTAATATCCTGCCACAACATTGGGTACTTTTTATCCCGAAAAAGTACATACACAAAAAAAACATACTTAATTGTGCGACTCGATTCCTAGACAGAGTTTATTTATTTATTTTTTTATTACACACACACAAGTTAACATTACACAACATTAAAATAGAGTAGCGTTTCAATATTCGGGCATTAATATTTAAAAAACTGCTTAATTGCACCATCATTACCTTACATCTCTGTCTATCTCTATACTCAACACAAACACTCTATCATTTCATCTCTTTCTAACCAACAACATTTTTCTTGTTTTTCGCGAGCAATTTTATAATAACTTAGTTGTGATTAATGCGCTTAGAACTCGACTTAGAGTAATCCGCATTGAGTAAAATCGCGGGTTACTCACGTGAATATACTGAGAAAAGCTCTACTAGTTTCGTGGACGTCGCGACGTCGCCGCGACCGCGCACGCTGCTCATAAGGAAGAACCCCTCTGTGGTTCGAAACTAGTAGAGCTTTTCTCAGTATACTCACGTGAGTAACCCGCGATTTTACTTAATTTAATTTGTCTCACGATAGTTATTATAAAAACAAAATCCGAATTGCGTGATTTTAGTTTTATTCCATTAATACGTTGTGTTCAGTCTAGTAGTATATTTATGGACAAATAATCTAGTGCATAACAATAATAAATATTTGGTTAATTCAATGATAAGTGGAATTTTATACAAATTACGGGAATCGTAGCCGTTCAATCTCGTAGAGGTCCGCAGACTCGTAGCTCGTAGCAAGCGTAGTCGCCCTTTTGAAAATACGAATATTTTTGTTGCTAATTGCGTTTTGATAACATTTACTATAATGTATTGATTGATATGCCTTTTCATGCCACATGGCATGTAGGTATACACATACACACATATTATAGGTACATACCTATAATATGTGTTGTAATAAAATGAGGTATTATGGGTTCGTTCGTAGCAGCGTAGCATCGACGTAGCACCTACAAACATTCTATAAACAGTTAAATGCAAATGTATTTCTTTAAAATATATATCGAGCTATAATCTGTGATCATTATATGCTCTAAAAGTTGTTGTATATGATTTAAAATGTGAATATCAATATGTTTTAGTTTAAAAAGTAATACTTTAAAGAGTAATTCAGTAAGAGCATATCTACTAAATGGCAATGTTAAGATGCAAAACTATGATAGAGTGATGTCATATTATTTTTATTCTCATCTAGTCAATTTCTTGCGTTATCATGAAAGTCTTGAATCGACAACGTGTTCTATCTAGCGATGGTGGCGCCATCTAAAGTGGTTCTCGATCGCTCCACTTTCGATGAAATTGCGTACTTAGGATATGAAAAATATGGGCATTATTTTCAATTTGAATGGCTCTGTATATTTATTATTATGCAGCTATTGGATTAATTTTATGAATGTGTTTACAACGATTCTAATGAACAGTCTAAATAAACACTCAAGACGTTTATAAAGAACGGATAATGGGAGGTAGGCAGAGGTGCACATTACGGCACTTAATGCCACTGTACAATGTAACACCCACTTGTCACTATTTATGTTATGAATTCCAGACTCCGTGCTACAAAAGATTTTTTTTTTTAAAGCAGTAGTACTTCGCCCGACCCGGGAATCGAAACCGAGACCCCTAGCCACGCAGTTGCACTAGCGACCACTCGGCCAACGAGGCAGTCACAGAAAACATATTTTGATAATGCATGCAGATAGATTACAACACTGGCTAATTAACTTAATTTAGTTTTATTTGTAGAATTTCCATAAAACTATGTCATTTTATTTAGAACAATTCTCAAGGTGATTGTCGAATCTCATGATTCTCATCAAAAAATCATTCAATCTCACATGGATTAAAATGAATCAGATCATTATAGAAGCAAAAAAGTTGAGTGTGTTTCATCATCATCATCATCAACAGCCTATAAATGACCACTGCTGAGCAAAGCCTCTTCTCACACGGAGAAGGTTTGAGCATTAATCACCACGCTTGCTCAATGCGGGTTGGCGATTTCAAACTTATAATTAGAAATTATAAGTCCAGGTTTCCTCACGATGTTATTCCTTCACCGTTTGTCAGTGGTGTCTAAATAATCTTAGAAAGTACACATAACTCGGAAAAAGTCACATTGGTACTTGCCGTTGGTAGGTTTCGAACCTGCACCCTCATGCGTGAGAAGCGGGCGTCTTAAACCTCCGGCCAACCACGACACCGAGTGTCTTTATGTGTATGTTTATTACTCAAACATGTCAGAACGGCTAATGGGATCGAGATGAAATTTAGAACAGGCATTTATGGTCTGAAATTATAAATAGGCAACTTATTATAGGTACCATGGGATCGCGATCGAAGCTACTGGCAGAAGTTTGTTAAATTTTGTTAAGTTTGTTAAATTTTGTTAAGTTATTTTTTTATTTATTTAAAAACATTGCCCCACACTAGGATTTTCTCCTGTACCGTGGGTGCGTTTACAAACATACAAGTTCACATACACATGACTCCCAGACCAGGAACAAGAATTTGTGGGTAACACAAAGAGTTGCTCCGTGCGGGAATCGAACCCGCGACACGTTGCGTGGCAGCCGGTTGCCCAGCCACCGCACTAGCCGTGTTGTCGCTTGTGTAAGTTTGTTAAATTCTCGTTTTGTCTTGTTACAGATCTCCACTATGGGTCAGCGTTACTTAATTACTTTATGTGCTCTGATGCTCGTCTCGGTGGGCTACTGTCAAACTGGTGAGTTACTGATAATTGTTTATTTCCTTTATAGTACATATTTCAGAAAGTCTTGCCCAGGTCACATAATATGTTTACAACGTGTAACGTTAAATACGCAAAATCTCAGACAACCCAAATGATTTATTTTTCAAAAGAATTGAAATTGTCAAATAAAAAAGAGGTTCTCAATTCATCTTTTTTATGGAATAAGCCGGTAAACGAGCAGACGAATCACCTGATGGTAAGCCATCAGCGCCGCCCATGGACACACGTAACACCAGAGCTGTCATAAGTGCTTTACCGGCCTTTTGAGGATTCGGAATTTAAAGATTATGGGGGATTCAGGGATTGGGGAGTTTAGGGAGGGGGTAATTGGACTTCCAGTAACCTCACTCACACGACGAAACAAAACGCAAGTGTTGATTCACGTAAGTTTTCTGTGAGACCGTGGTACCTCTACCACTCCAGTCGAGGCGGCCCATCCATGCCGAAGCATGGCTCTTTCACACTTAAAACAAAATAAACCGGATTCATTGTAAATTATATACTATTTGCTTCGAAAAGGCATAGTCTAACAAATATATCTGTTCCAGAAACGGAGCCACCAACGACTGTGACGACTAAGGCTCCGACTACCACCACTGTGGTGACATCCACCACCACCACGACTTGGGAGACGGAGACCCTGAATGAGGGCCAGGCGATACAGAAGGCGCTGCAATATCTGCTGCAGCACCGCCAGCCTGACTGGGGCTGGGGTAACGATACGCACCATGTGATGCTGACACTGCAGGTGATTATATCATCATCTTTATTAACCGGGAGAAATCTACTGCTGAACAAAAGAACACGACAATAATAACTAGTTTTGCGCCGGCAATATTTTAATACTTTCTGACAAAAATTTAGATCGATTCAAAGAAGGTATCGAGAATTCACAAATGAAGAAACTTCATCTAATATTTTTTTTTTTAATGCACTACTGTCCAACATTATTATTTTATAAAAACATTGCTCGCTAGTATTTTTCCTACGTCCTATGGGCGCTTACAAACTTACAATTTCACATGCACATGATGGATAAACCTTAATACAATAGGTAATGATGATGACCGATGACTACGGGGTTGAAATCGTTAATACTTGGCGAATAACCAACTAGGTGCTCAGTAAGGCTATCAGACACACCATCGTAGATACATTTCGGTGTCGCATTGGCATCTGAGCTAATCCAGAGATGTATCGCCTTGCCAATAACTAACTGCTACAACCCTAATGGTTCTTGTGCAGATTAGATAACGGGACCTTCATTCTTCCTGATTGTTAGACATTATTAGTCTTGAGCTTAAGTTCGACTTGCAAATTAATGATACAGAAAACTGCTAAAAGCAAACCTTTGCTAACATCTGTCAGCATCTTTAGCAAGAATGTCTTAAATAAATTAATCAATACTTTGATAATTTATTGAAAAAATATTTCGAAAATGTAATCTTGACCATGTTTTCCGTAACGCTTCGCTCTCTGATAGTTAAATAGGCTGTATATGTCATTTAACTATTCGAGTACAGGAGTAATCTTATGAGGTTAATTAAACTTCCAGTTGGCCAATAACACTGGTAAGGAGATTGAGCAGCAGGGCCTGGAGATGCAGCTCTCAGCCAAGCAGATGGAGATCGAGATTCTGCTCATGATGTCCAAGTGAGCCCAAGTCTTATACCGTAGATGTGATCATACTATGTGGATGTATTTTGTAGAAGATAAATAATAATTATAATCAACTGCTCCAAGAACTATTAACAATCAAGGAGTAACATATCAGGTTTATGCATTTTCTTCATACGTTTTCTTCATAAGTACCATCATCATTAAAAACAATTTTATTTATCTCTAGACACCACGAATCTCCTCCTCCATTGGGGCGCCTCGCTGCATACACACTGGCCCTCGGAGCTCTCTGCAAGGACCCCCGGTCCTTCCACGGCCGCGACCTGGTGGCTGCCCTCCTGCATCGTGAGCCTCCTCATGACCTTGAGTTCGCCTATGCGACCTTGGCTGCCTGTTCCTCAGCAGCTCATGTTCGGCGCCGGCATATTAGGAGGCTCCTGGACATCGCAAACGCTGCTTCTGACCACAGTCTTGGTAAGTTACAATTATTTTCATTTTTTAAGAAAAGAACTACTTTGAATTCACAAAGGACACAGGTATATTATCTAAAACAACCATATTATTTATTTACATCAATAAAATTATTGTTGCCAAAACTTTGGTAGGATTTTGCGACATTTGACTTGACTAATATTTAGCGTCATTTTTCAGACACGATCTCAATGGTGATATTGGCGCTACGCTGCGTGGTGCAGGACCACCGTCACCGTAGTCTCATTCACTTCGTGCGCCGCCCCATGGCCGGACTCGCAAGGCAACAACACACTGATGGGAGCTTCGGTACCCTCACCACTACCGCCTTGGCTATTCAGGTACAACTGCTTACAGAATCAACTGATGATAATGATGCAGATGACTCTGTCCTGCTGACGTTGTTTAAAACTTGTTATTTTTTTCTCTGCAGGCCTTGGAAGATTCTGAATCAGGACCTGGAGCGCACCAGCACTGGAGCTTCCCAGCGGCGCGCAAGTGGTTGGTGGAGAGGCAGCGAAGTGACGGTGGCTGGGGCGACGTGGCCAGCACTGCTGCAGCTGTGGCCGCTCTCACACCCGCCTCACTAGCTGCTGTCCGCCCGCCACACTGCGCTGACAAACTCCTTGACAATCGTCACGAACCTTTAGGTGACGAGATTTTTCAATGAAATGTGCCATCAAACAATATTAAACTCTGTTGGAATTACCAGACTAATTGGCAAAAACTTTTAACATTATACCATGTTATATCGTACTGTACCTTGATTACCACGTTGGTTGATCTCATTATCATAGTTCTCTCTAATAAATGTGTTATTTGTTAACGGTTCCAGATAGCAACGGGGGTGATGGCACTCTTAAGCTGGCCTACCAATCAGGCAGCACCAGCAACGAATCCGATGCACGCAACGTATCCTTCACTTACACGCTGTGGGTTGGCACTAACGTCACCGAGACCTACACCCTGCGCATGGTTGCTCCTAGGTAAGTCTAGTGTTTACTTCTATCATTTGATATTTGTATTTTGTGATGGTCGCTGAATATATTAATAAATGGTATTTTGGTCATGATGAAAGTAAGAATGTCACAAATATACAAGAACTCCGTAGTTAGGAAATGGACTTTACCAAAGTACAGATACTCAGATATTGTTGACTTAGACTTATCTATTTCAAAAGATAAGATTCATGATGTTCTTTTAACCCTGAAATCACGAACTTTCTTAAAAATGCTAGTTTTTTTAGTACCATTTAATGTTAAATAATTACTAATTGATTATTGTTTTTGGCCTATACACGTAACAGTTTGACAAGGAACTCGACTAGTTTCAAACCATGCTAGAGGCTCATATTTATGAGCAGCATTCCGCGACCCGTGACGCGGGGACTGTCGCGCATTTACTGTCAGTAGAACTACTGAAACTAGTCACATTCCTTCCTCATCAAACAGTTACGCGAGTAAATCGAAATTATAATAATTATTTACTAATTGATATTTTTACCAAGTTTTTAACTCACCTCATTTTTTCTGTTACTTCTTTACTAATATGTTTCTTATATAATTACAGGAATATATCATTCTTCCACGTGATGCAAATGGCGGCAAAAATATTACCGAAGTTCAAGTTTGAGGCGAGCGAGTGGCCCAATGGTCATTATGTGCACACGATCGGGGGTCACAAGGAGGAACCCATGGGTTACCACTACTGGCTGCTTTACCGTCTGCCCGAGAAGCCTGACCCCGCCAGCCCTCCTGGCAACCAGCTCGTCGCACCAGTCGGTAAGGAATACGGTTACTTTATGACTGAAAATAAGACTCAAAAATATAATAAAATCCTTGAGTAAAATAATATTATCATTAAATGTAATCCTTACAATTTTTTGCTGAACAGTATTAATTGCATTCACTAAATCAAAAATTATTTTATTTCAGGTGTGGACGACTTATTGGTTGAGGAAGGAGAACATTATCTGTTCTGGTATAAGAAGTTGTAATTCTTCCATTGATATCGCTCCCACCAGTTACCACTTTTATTATATACCTTCTACCATCGTATGATACCTTCGTTCCATCTTCTCTATTATTTAATCTTTCAAAGTTTCTGTTTAATCTGTCTGAAACTTAGATGTAAGATTCGCAGTCATATATCGTACGTATTTCAATAGGAATAATAGTTTTAGGAGCATATTTATCAAACGATTGTACCTTTAATATTAATCTCTGACTATTTTAAACTTTCACGATTTAGCTGTGGTCAATTTTCTAATGTTACTAGAAAATTTAGATTTCTTTACTGAGCATACCAAAGATAAACTATACATAGAAACATTTATAGATATTCTTAACTTTCATGTTACCAGTACCAGTTTGTTAATGGAGGTACTCATAAATGGTCCCATTATAGCACCCTGGGGAACCCTTACTTTGTCAGTGAAATGTTCGTGTGGCCTTTATTATCTGAAGCTGACCACATAGGTATAGTAGGTCCCATAACGGACATTCAATTCAATGTTTACTCAGTAACGCATTACACATATTTTAGAAACATTCTGTAATCATAATCAATAATAATATCATTAGCAAACGTTATCTAAGGTTTCCATATTCTCAATAAAGATACTGTTTTTGTCGGCAATACTTTGCATGTGTTAGTTAGCATGTACGATAGCATTTAGAACAACGTTAAGATTCATGTTAAAGTAAGCAATTCTCAATTTAAAACTTTTTTAATACCTAAACATCGAGTTAATGTAAAATTGAACAATAGAAATAATATAATTTATCAGGACATGCTGGTAAATATTACGTAACTTGAACAGTTTTCGTTACAATCCTTTTGATTAAAGAAAAACTAAGTTACTGATTATTATCATAAATTACAAAAGTATGAATATTTGGTCATATTTCCATTAACTCGATGTCGATTATAATTCTAGTTACTATATTATACTGTGTAATCTCGGAAACAATAGATTTTAAAACTAATCATTTTAGACGAGACTGAACGCAGTGTTATCTAATTCAAGTGCGTTAGAATAACATTTTTATTGTACCTATTGAATGGTTCTTAATAAAGTACGAAAATAAAGTCATCTCTGGTGTTTTCCTGGTCTCATCCACACTGTGTATGTTATACGAAGAGAATTGGGTACTTTCTTTAATCACAAATAAATTATTTCGACTGTTCAATACAATCTTATACTCTCGTATAAAGCGGAAGAGCTTGTTTTTTGTTTGTTTGTTTGAACGCGCTAATCTCCGTAACTACAAGTCTGATTTGAATAATTATTTTTGTGTTGGATAGCGCATTTATCGATGATGGCTATAGGCTATAAAACATAGGAGCTACAACAAATAGGATCTGAGCAGAGCGTGTGAAACCGCGCAGAAGTAGCTAGTCAAATATAAAAAAAATAATCACACTTTCATTCATTGATTTTACGCCCATCTTAATTTTAGTATATTTCCAGCAATTTTTAAAATTAGGTATTCTGTTTGACGCTAAAAAATCGGAACGTCACAATACACATTGAATTTGACTAGTTGGCAAGTAGGTACCCAATTGATGCAAGACTGAGATTTCTGTCCCGTATTCTGTCCTTTTCTAATTATGAAGGTGAAATGCGCGCGCCTCTTCATGCCCTGGATTATAGGCACGTAAGCCTAGTATCTATGTGTATTTTTTATTTTGAAAGGTAGACGTATCTCTATCGACGTTATGAAAGAATAAAAACCACAAAGTTAAGATCCAACATTTATTAAATTTGTACAACTTACACATAACACCAATTTGACCACGTCGGCTAGGTATCAATACCTAAATAGTGCAAGGAAGCTACAAAACGTTTCATATATTGCATAGAAAATGGAAAACAACGTCCTCATAAAAATAGCATTTGAATATTTATAAATTTGAAAGAGCTTATCATAAGAACTTACACGATAAGTTATTTTATAACTCAAATCACTCATACGATACAACCTTCAATAATTAAATGGAACATAAAAATAATGCATTTCTGAGAACATAAATAACTAAACATAGCTTAACATAAATAGTCACGATTTATTACCGAACATAAAATTATAGTGTTATTTCCTATCAACCATTTTATGGACTTCATAGTCTCATAATAATAACAAATATTCTTTACTTTACTGCAACAGTTTGTCTCAAAAGAGATCTGATACGTTCACGGAATACTAGTAGAATATTCGCTTAGCTCAGTAGCTAATGAATAATTAAACACACAATACTATGTATCCTTTTGATTAAATTCTTACATATTGAACGAAACATGCATGGATGGATGACAAACTGCAATCTAAGTATAATCGCAGTTACTTCTAATCCAAAGGCTTGTATCAACATTTCTATTTAAGTGCCTCTTAGCATATCTGACACATTTTAGATAGTCTACTAATCCGTCAGTTAGACTAATTACAACTTAGCTAGAACGGCGAAACAGGCCCTTACTGTGATACTTAGAGACATTTAATGCTTACTTAAACTATTCCTTAGTAACGATTTTGTTCCGAAAACAATTGCTAAGGACTGGGTTAAGTAGTCATTAATGACTTTAATTACGGCGGTTAGTGTAAGATTAAACATAAAAATATATCTCTCGAATTATGAGATAATCAAAAATAATCCAATATAATACGCTTTATAGAGAAAAATATAATATTAGTCGATTTTTGGACATGACTATTTGTTCGAAAATCGACTAATTCAAACCCCTCTTTAGTATAATTGGGAAATACGTTACCGAAACAAAAATGTGCTTCGTTTTATGAAACAAACAACCAAAGAAAGTTAGTACATGCATAACTTTATGATACCTTAGTGAATTTAAAGAAAACTGCGTGCAAATGCATTTTACAACATTACATACTTAAAATAATAAGTATCAATCACGTAGAAAATATAAATGAGCAACAATATTAACCTTATGAAAATAATCCAATTGTGCATTGAAATAATTGTGTCTATTATTATATTTATGTGCATACAGCATTATCTAGTACATAAATAAAACGAATCTTTAAAATTTCACAAAGAAAGGATGCAGTAAAATGCTGTTATGGAATGATGTATACCCGTATTTTCCGTATAAAATACAAAAATCTATGTTTACGAAGAGATAAAATTCTTATATGGTTCAAACATAGCCATATTAGTTGTAGCTGCGTTGTTGAATGTGAGTCCAAATAAGTAGTTTATTTGTAAAAGTCGAAGATGTAATTGTATATTGACCCGTGGATATATCTCTATGACCCCAATTAGTTTACTAAACGACTAGACACAGAATTAAATAATATCGAAAAACAATCATATTTACATTAACTGATTTTGGTTTCTTTATGTTTTGGTTTAGTCGAATATTACCTACTTTTTATCTTGCAAATATTCGTATACGGCTCAGCAAGCCCATCCCTATGGACGTATTTACGAATTTATCCCTGTAAATTCTGATGTATCAATGACTACTAATCTTCTTATCTCTGGGACTATCTCATAACTTAATGTACTCGTAGATTCGCATATATATTTAGTAGATATTGGAATGAAGTGAAATATTCCAATAATAAACTTAAATTGCTACCTTTCTTTGTGTAATTTTAGCTATAGACAAGTCTAGTTATAGGATCCGTAAATAATATATTAAACATCATTCGAACAATTAATCTAACATTCTGAATGGCTAACACACACCTTGTCTCATTACTATTGAAAAAATAAAATTCTTCAATAAGCGATAAAGACCAGCTTCAATACGCTTAAAAAGGTATTTACTTATTTTTTTATTTCAGAGCAAAATGCGTCGCATTCATAAGGCTTAAATTCGAACATTTTCTAACGGGGAAATAAACTGGTTTCACTAGTTTGACAGATGACATTAGAACTGTCAAAATAACGCTTCGTGGTTGGCTAAGGCTGACGATATAAAGTACGGCCATGTTTTTTTTAATTATCCCCATTGGCAACAGTATTACAACATACATCCTATATTACTATATGTGCGTCCAACTATGGGTATTGAAAATATATAGACAGCTTTTAGCGAATTATTACTTACAAATACAGAGGAATAGACAAGAAATGATAAAGTACTTAAGATATATATTATTTATATCACATAGAGTACCGAAGAGGTAATGGTTTCAGGTCAAATCACATAATTTGTTATTATTATAATTGGTCTGAGTCGAAACGAGTGCAATAGTGAGGCCTACAATTAATTAATATAACAACCAAATATGAGGTTAATTTAATTATAAATCTCTGAGATTTTCATGGCAAATGAAAAATCACTAATTCTTTGCACACAGGGAAGTGACACAACTCAAACTATTCAATTCACTTCGACGCAGACCTGTTGCAAACTCACTCTTTAAGATTTTCACGTGATTACATTACGTAAATCAATCATTTTACTATTCAAATAAGGCTCTTTTTAGCATAGCAAGGTTTTACTATAACACTTTTTTAATTCGGTCTTGAGAAACACCTTAGGAGACTTTGGAGTCCCCAAAAACCTGAGCAATCGTGTGCATATTTTTATAGCTTTATTTAATAATCAGTTATATGTTGATTCGTTTGTAACCACGTGAAGCAGTGATGGTTTGCAGGTTGTATCTAGTACTCTTAACTGGATGCGACACTAAGGCGTGATCACGATGCGGTTCATGATCGTCGTGTACGCAAGTCCCAGCGCCCAAGATACTTCGTGGCCGTTCACTTTCTTGAATAACTGGAAATAATAAATTCTTTATTAGATTTGTGTGACAAAATTATTAACATATATTTTTTTAAAGCGTTGTCCCGTACTAAAATATTTTACTGTGTCGTGGGTTCGTTCACAATCATACAAGTACACATGACACCCAGACCGAAACAACAGTTTGTGGACCATACATGAAGAAGCTTCGTGCGGGAATCGAACCCGCGACACGTTGCGCGGTTGTCCAGCCACTGCACCAACCGTGCTGTCTAGTGTCTAATAATATTACAATGACGCGTTTTATTTTTTTATTCGTCTGCGCATTTGTTTTCACACTAAAATAATGTCGTTAAGGTTAATATGTAGTACCTACTTAACAAAATCAATTTAGAGGACTCGTATCAATAATGAGAGGTAGAAAACAAAACCTAAGTAAAATGTTAAATCAATTATCACTGAAATTCTTTCACTCTAAGGTCCAGTTTCACCAAACTGTGTTTGTTAAATCCTAATTAGTCATTAACTAATGAGTTGTTAATAATTAACGGGCTGTTATATCATTGTATGTCCCACGAGAAAAAAGTAACAAGCCGTTATTAAACTGTATATTTAACTGAACGACTTGTAAGTTGTTCACTCTTATTTTAAGCAACCAAATGGAAATGGTTTTTTGTGACATGTTATTTAGACCGAGTTCGGTAATATTTTATCTAGTCGTATAATACGTCATTAGTTGTGCTACGCGACCAATTTCAAACAAGTTCAATTTCAATTTCAAATTTAAAAACTCACTGAGTTTTTCTTATTTCTTCCTCAGTATTAGGGAATTGGATAAATTTGGGGCTAAGGGAGGCTATTGCAGCAGTGACCCTGTGTATTATTCTATGAGATGACGACTTACTTATCCCACAATAATCTCCCACTGTTATTTGTTGAGAGCCAGTTGCATAATACCTCAAGGTCAAAAGAATTTGATTAATGGGAGAAATTGATTCATTCCTGAAACAAAGTAAGGATAAGGGGTCCCTTATAAACATAAGGGTAAAGATAAGGCCCTCAGGGAAGTGATCGGCGATGGCGACCTCTCGCGTCCGGGCTAGTGCAGGCCATGATGCGGAGCGAGGGGGACTGGGATGCCGTCTCCTCCTTTTGCGAAGCAGTAATGCTAGCTAAGGAGGAGGCGGGACGCGTGAGGCAGCGAGGCGCTGCCTCCTCGCAACCCAGCCATCGCGAAGGACACACCGGGCGTCGGGGATCGCGGGACGATCTCCGGCCACCGTAAGCGCGGGCCTGCGGACGGCGAGCACGGGTGGCTCCCCGTCCGACCAGAAACAGACCCAAGCGTACGGCGCGTCGCGTTCCACGCGCGCCTCAAAGAGCCATCAGACCACACAGATAGGGCCCAATAGGGCCGATGCCGATTCGGAGTCGCGGAGAACCTAACGGGTAACCGGGGCTCCGGCTCGACGTGCAGGAGAAGGAACGGGGTGGTTTTTAGTCAGTAAGAGTCTGACACTCCCTTCCGCCTCACCCAGGTGGGAGCAGTCATTCGATGATTTTCCCCCATTAAAAAAAAAAAGGTTGTTTCTTTAGATAAACGGAATCTGGTACAAAAATCTACATCGTCGTATCCGTCGAAATAAGAACGCCGTTCTTTAAAAATTCTTGGACGTCGTACTATTGTGTCTAAGTAATCTAAATAATCTAAAATATTATTTTCGAATATGAAATTGTATGCAGCCTCCATCTCGATTTTAATTGTCTGTTACGGTCTAACGGACGTCTAGAGCGGTGATTAAATTTAACAGCTTGTTATGACAAATAAAAGCGCGTTAACTCGTGGTGGGACACTCGATAACTTTAACAGCCCGTTAACTGACTTAACAATACTTTAAATATTTAACAGGGGATGGTGAAACTGGACCTAAATCTATTGCAACAGGACTAAAAATGCAAAAGATAAACCAATTCACATTAACATAACATCACGCCTTTTATCCCCGAAGGGGTAGGCAGAGGTGCACATTTTGCCACTGTACAATATGTAACACCCACTTTTCACTATTTATGTTATGAGTCCCATGTAATAGAGGGTGAGCCTATTGCCATATACCGGGCAAAATTCCAGACTCCGTGCTACTACTGAGAATTTTTTAAAACCCAGTAATACTTTGCCCGACCCGGGAATCGAACCCGAGATCCCTTGCCCCCTTGCAGTCGCACTTGCGACCACTCGGCCAACGAGGCAGTCCAAGTCCAGATAAACCAATTCATTACGATATTATTAAGAAAAACAAAGTTAAAGTACAACTTACATATATCGGTTCATCGTCACTGATCTTGTAGACATCTTGCAGTAATGTGACGATGTACACCAAGTCTATGCAGGCCCACGGCTGGTCCACGTTGGGAGTAGAGCACGCTTCCAAAGCTGCCTTGCGGTAAGCCGCTACTGACACTTGCCCGCCCGTCATTACATCTGAAAATAGGAGGTACATTTAAAGTTGAGTTTTATTTTTAATACCAGCTTCTGTCCGCGGCTTTACCCGCGTTGCTGTGGGATAAAAAGTACCCTGTGTTATTCCAGGTCATAATTATTACTAGCAAACCAGACGAACTCCGTTTCGCCACCAGATGGCTTCGTTTTATGTAACACTAGCTTTTACCCGCGGCTTCGCTCGCGTCACAAAAGGATAAAAAGTAGCCTATGTGACATATCCCAATACACACAGCGCCATCTATACCAATAATTTCGTTTTCCCTCGAGAATATCAAAATTTACCGGGATAAAAAGTACCCTATTATTTAATTCGGACTTCTAACTTTACGTCTGCAAAAATTCAAAGCAATCGGTTCAGTAGTTACGGCGCGAAAATGAAACAAACAAACAAACTCACTTTCTGATTTATAATATTAGTAAGGATTCTTTGCTATAAACCTCACGGAGCCCGAGACCTTTTCAATGAATGCAAAACCGTGGAAATCGGTTCGTGCGTTCAGAGGGCCAAGCACGAATAACTATCGCATTCGTAACGTAATAGTATCGAGCGCGTTCAGCGCTCTGATTGGCCGGCTCAAGTGGATCAACCAATCAGAACGCTTAACTCGCTCGATACTGTTACGATACGAATGCAATAGTTATTCGTGCTTGGACCTCTGGAGTTATAGCGTCAGGAAGGAAAACCCGACTTATTTTTATATAGTAGATTATCCTGTTTCAAATTTCCACACGATCACTGCCGATTTGACGTGACTGAGTAAAAAACATATACACAAATACTAGATAAATGTAAGATAAGTCTGGCGAAGGCAGAGTACAGTAAGTGCGTTCCTCTTCTCTTGGGACACTCCTAAAAGACAATTCATCGGGCAGAGACCTGTCACCAGCGGTCTTTAATAAACTTGACCCGTTTAAACTGCAATCTCTACACCAAATCAAGTAAAAACGCGGGTTACTCATGAGCAGCGTGCGTGGTCGCGGCGACGTCGCGCAGCTCACTTAACCAAGCCGCGACCGCGCACGATGCTCATGAGGAAGAATCCCTTTGTGGTTCGAAACTAGTAGAGCTTTTCTCAGTATATTCACGTGAGTAACCCGCGATTTTACTTGATTTAGTATGTCTCACGATAGTTATTATACAAATCTCTACACCGTTTGTCAAGCGTCGATAATGTGACAACAACCTTTTATTTGGCGACGGTCCATTGTCCAGTCCAGCAGTGGCCTGTGTCACTGTTGTGTGTCTGTTTTGTAAACTTTTAAATGTCCGATTATGAAAAATCCACAACATTTGTTCATACAAAAGTAGTCTCTAAACATCGGAAACAAGGTATATAACGATGTAAGTGGAGAACAGTCACGCGGTGACAGCTTGGATTAAGACCATTAAGTTACAATAGTTACAATGTAAATAGTTGTTTTTGTTTTTCTTTTATATAATTTTAGTCTAAGTTGTACATATTTTAATATTGACTAGCTTCTGCCCGCGACTTCGTACGCGTAATCCCATTTGTTCCCGTCCCCGTTCGTGATTTTCGGTAAAAAGTAAAAAAAAAATGTTGGTTAAAAAGTATCCTATGTCGGTCTCCTGGCTCTAAGCTACCTCCCTACCAATTTTCAGCCAAATCTATTCTGCCGTTCTTGAGTTATAAGTGGTGTAACTAACACGACTTTCTTTTATATATATAGATTTAGTAATAGTTAGTTAATTTTAATATTATTTAAGTTTTTTATTGGAAATTTAATAAAGTAAAGTAGTTACAATATAATTTCAAAGCAGATATGAGTGTCCGGCAGGTACCAGGGCGGCAGCAGTCAGTAGCAGTACGTACCTATAATGCCGGCGTCCGCCGCGACGTCGTAGAAGTAGCTCATGGCGGCGACGCTGCCGAGCGGCGCGCGCTTGGGCTCCCAGTCCACGTTGGGCATCACGCTGCGCCGCACGGCGTCGTGGCACGCCGCGTATATTGCTGACCGCTTCGACCCGTGCACGCGGAACGAACCGCTAGATATAAAAGTTATGATTAAGACTTTGACTGCCAATAAAAAACTGTTGAAGGTAAATCCTCTGCTAACGCCGGTCACCGGTGACCCCCATGGCGTTTAACGTGTTAATAAATAACTGAAAGTTTCGGAAATAAATGACATGACCTAGGACTCAGGCACATATAGGGATGATGACAGGATATGAAAATAAAAATCAAATTAGTCCGTCAGTAAGATAATGAAAAAATAAAACCAATTTTTAATTTTGTCGTATAAGGTTACAATAATGAGATAAAACGAATCGAAGTTTAGGAGTAGCGAAAACGTCATGTCTACATATAAAACGTACCTAGAAGTGACGCGATATTTCAAATCAATATATTTTTTTTTTAAATTAGGATTTAGGATTACACACATTAGGATTTTCTCCTGTGTCGTGGGTGCGTTTACAAACATACAAGTTCACATACACATGACACCCAGACCCGAAACAACAATTTGTGGATCACACAAAGTGTTGTTTCGTGCGGGAATCGAACCCGCGACACGTTGCACGGCAGCCGGTTGCCCAGCCACCGCACCAACCGTGCAGTCAGTATATATATCGTCAAGTAGTATCGGAGACAGAAAAGAAAAATCTAATGTTTTAAAATAATCTAATATTTAACCAGACGGACATTAAAATAAAAATTAGTCATCTGTATAGCGATCAAAAAGTTGAATTACCTGACGAAGTAGTTCTTGTTAGCATACGTCCATGGTTCCCGTTGTATGATGGGGTCGACGCACACGGATCGGAACTCCGGCGTCTCTCCCTCGGACGTCTCCGATTGGAATACACCGTAACGAGCCGCCAGCAGACCTAGCTTCAAGTAACTGAAAATAAATTTTACATAAATAATTATTTATATATTATTTTATAGATAAGCTACGTACGCAGGATTGCCTCGTCGGCCGAGTGGTCGCAAGTACGACTGCCGGGCAAGGCGTCTTGGGTTCGATTCCCGTGTCGGGCATAGAAGTTTATCGAAGAATCTCAGTAGAGTTAAAAAGTATTAGTGCTTAAAATGCACTGAGGGCCAATTTTTCAATGTTTAGTAAAATTTTAACTGAGGAATAACTTTGAATATTTGACAATACTTCCATACTAAAAACTGTCAAATGTCAATTCTATTCTACAGGTGATGATTGAAAAATCGACCCCAAAGAGCAGAGGGTCGTTTAACCAAATACCCGCTTTTGTCACCTCTATAACTACGTTACGTTATACGTTATAGCCTGGGCTTAATTTGTCATTAAAAGTTTGAAATCGCCAACCTGCGTTGAGCAAACGTGGTGATTAAACTGTCAAACACCAAGCGGTCACCGGTGACCGCGACGTATTGTTCTTTAATTGTGTCTATAAAACCGGTACTCGACGAGTTAATGCTCAAACCTTCTCCGTGTGAGAAGAGGCTTTGCTCAGCAGTGGGCATTTATAGGCTGTTGATGTGTACGTTCAAGTATAAATAACATTCACCTGTGTGTATACAGAGTGATGTTGTCCCCAGCGGGCACGACGTATTGGTCCTTTTTGGGGAAGTTGGCGGTCTCTTTGTTGCTCAACTGGTAGGTGATCTGTGTGGACCCACCGCCGAGGTCCAGGGCCGCCATTGTTGACCCGCCCATGAGATCTGAAAGGAAAATTGAAAAAGATTTTTAAAGGTTAATAAAATTTGAAAACAATTTGAAACTTTGCGAGGTCAGGGTCGGGATTTTTTTTTTTTTTAAGGGGGGAAAATCATCGAATGACTGCTCCCACCTGGGTGAGGCGGGAGGGAGTGTCAGACTCTTATTGACTAAAAACCACCCCGTTCCTTCTCCTGCACGTCGAGCCGGAGCCCCGGTTACCCGTTAGGTTCTCCGCGACTCAGGAATTCGGGATACGAGGTTGATTAAGACATATTGGGGTCTTTGAAAGCAATTAAAGTTACAAATTTCAGTCAATATCTTCCAGTTACAACAGAATGATTGTAGAATCACAAACAACCATGCTTTATTTAACAAACTGTAACTATGTAGCAGGAAAAGTATAAAATACTTAAGCTTCATCAAATACTAAAATCAAGTTGGTAATAAAATCAATATATGAAAGCGTGATTATTTTTTTATATTTTATTGTATTAAACAGTCGAAATATTTTATTTTTGATTACGGAAAGTACCCAACTAATAAAGTACTTGTATCTATATTTATTAAGAAATGAAAAAGAAATAAACGCTAGTGGTTCCGTTTGTTTGTTCCCAAGTACAGTTCAGTGACTTACTATGTAAGAGGTTGATGGTGTACCAGATGAAGATTCCTTCATCAGAGCCGTCCATGATCTTCACGCCATCAAGAGCCACGTCGTAACCCAGTCTGGAAGGAGAACATTCGATATTACTCATAACATAACATCACGCCTTTTATCCCTGTAGGGGTAGGCAGAGGTGCACACAGAAGTAACACCCACTTTTCACTATTTATGTTATGAGTGCAATGTAATAGGGGGTGAGCCTATTGCCATATACCGGGCACATTTCCAGACTCCGTGCTACTAAGTTTTTTTTTAATCTGTCAAACACCGAGCGGTCACCGGTGACCGCGACCTATTGTTCTTTAATTGTGTCTATAAAACCGGTACTCGACGAGTTAAACCCAGTAATACTTTGCCCGACCCGAGAATCGAACCCGAGACCCTTGGCCAGCAGTCGCACTTGCTACCACTCGGCCAACAAGGCAGTCGATATTACTTTCATTGCTTTTGTTATTTGTAGCTTGCCATTTTAAAGTTACACCGATAGTCATTTATCTTTTTGTTTATGGGATAAGCCGGTAAACGAACAGATCATCCGATGGTAAGCAATCGGCGCCGTCCATCGAAACCTAACACCCGAAGCGTTACGAGTGTATTGCCGGCCTTTTGGGGATTAGGAATTTGATGATGAAGATTTGAGAATTTTGGGGATTCAGGAGACAAGGATTATTCACAACATAACATCACGCCTTATCCCTGAAGGAGTAGGCAGAGGTGCATATTCCGGCACTTAATGTCACTGTACAATGTAACACCCACTTTTCACTATTTATGTTATGAGTCCCATGTAATAGGGGGTGAGCCTAGTACCATAAACCGGTTTTTTTTTTTTAAATGGGACAAGCCCGCCACATCCTCCCAAAACCGCTGCAACTCCTGTAAGCCAGGATCTACAGTAGATACAACCATGAAAACACCGGAACACTGAAGTCCGGCGCGTCCCAGGGACATGAGTAACTGTCTGGGTCCGCAACGAAATGAATCAGAAGATATTATAAGAGGAAAGAAAAAACTATAGTTTCCACTCCTCGGTGAATTTCTGCAGGAGATAGAATGAATTAAGCCTAAAGGCACAAAGAAGAGACTGTACAACTGGGTGAAGCCCAGTCGCCAAGCACCACGGAAATTTGACTAAAAAACTAAGTGGGTCCTATGTGTGAGCTGTTATACTTGCTTCCAATAATAGGTATGGCAAAAACGCCTAAACGCACGGAAATTTGTTCTAGATTCCACAAGGTCCGTATAATAAGCTACACCTGACGAAACAATTAAATTATTCAACATAGTGTTACGTTCATATTGCCAGAGATCACACTCCCAGAGTATGTGATGGGCCGACTGCTCGTATTGCAAATCCACTGTCGAACATTGGCACCATGGTGAATCAACAAGTTTAAATGAGAACAATTTGCTTTTAAAGTTGCCGTGGCCAGTAAGAAATTGGGCAACACAGTGATCCCCTCCAACCATGTCCTCCAGCCGCTCATGCACGGATGGGAAGAACTGATATAGGTGGCGGCCCTTAATAGAAGATGCCCATCTACCCTGCCATTCAGTTATAAGCTCATCCCAGACGTCCGTTATTGGCTTAAACAATCTAGCAATTTATTTCTATCACGTTGTGCTAGAAAGCTTGCTGACAAATTAGGTCTTGCACTGTAGTACATAGCAGCACGTCGCTGCACTTCAAGATCTACCGGAAGTACGCCCGCGAGCACAGGTAGGGCTTCAGTGCTAACCGTCCTATAAGCCTTACACAGGAAAATCAAGGCTAGACGCTGGCCTTGAAGAATTTTCGCCGTACCGCGCCTATTGTGGCCCTATCAGCCCAGACAGGTGCCCCGTAGCACACGCATCCCAGGTAGGTTGCTCCGTATATGATCCTGAGCGTAAGAAAAGAGAGACCCCAGGTGGCTTTTGAAATTCGCGTTAGCGCATTTCAAAAACCACCATAAACCGGTTATTGATTTCGTTACTTATAATCTGCTCCCAAAGCCTCGTCTACATAATAATGTAATGTGTGATATAATTATATTAATGCCTACACCCAAACAAGCTAGTAGAATAAACGTATACTTACTGGGATATAGCTCTAGCGACATGGTCGATGAGTTGCTGTGCCTTGTCAGCTGGTAACAGTCGCAGACCGGCCGTAGCTCGAACTATGAGAGGAGTCGACTTCCTCTTCTCAAGAGGTGTGAGGAACTCCGCTTTCTTTATTAATTGCACTATTGTATCTGCACCCTGTAATAAACAGATTGTATGTTATAAATACGAAATATTAAAAAATATACTTATATAAAAAAATATTGTCCCATCTAATATAAAAAAGTATCTATTAAAATAAAAAATAGCTATTTTCGAAAAGAGATTGGAAAGTAAGTAAGTATTAACACTTCTGTATAAATAAACATACGATGGCAGACTTAATGCCGGGTGGCGTTCTCTAACAGTCAACCATGGGGTGATGCAGAGATGTGCAACAGTAGGTGTAATAGGTATAATGGTTAAATTTTTGTGACACAGAGAAATCTATATAAATAAATTTATGATTATGCATAACTGTAAATACATACATATATCCGTATATATAGGTATAATATAAATTACATAAGATTTCTTATGAGGGCTCTAAGCCTGAATTTTTCACCTGAGTAGGTCTCTGTTATGGGGCACATTAAACTTTCTACCGTCTTCGGCGCTATACAACAAAAATTTAATTTATGCAAAGAGGAAACCAATTTAGGCCATTTGACCTTTTTAAATATGTATGTAAACCAGAAAAGAACATGGTTTTAATATAACATAAATCAAGTTTTAAAATATTAAATACCAACTAACCTTTGCCGGGTCATCAGCGTAAGACGAGAGTCCGGGTTTAGACTGTTCAAAGTATTCATCTACTAAGTCCAGGTTACCCGGGCCGAATACTGAAACAAAATTATACACTAAATTAAACGTAGATAGATATGAACTTTCACGCTAACCAACCCGGGGAGTAAGCAATAGGTAGTATATACCAAGAACTTTAAAACACGTCGTCATGCTTTTTAATCCTCGAAGGATTTTTTTAAAGGATACGCCAGTAAACGAGGAGTCGGATCACCTGAAATAAGCCGTCGTCGCCCATGGACACCTAGAACACTAGAGGCGTTACAAGAGCGTTACCGGCCTTTTGCATAGGTGGATTAAAAAACCCCAACCACAACTGGGCCATTGACTATTAATTTATTAATCACATTGCACTGACTGGTCTGGGATCATCCACCAAATTCTGCTTAAATTGACAAACAAAGTTACTTACGATGTCGAAAAAACTCAGGTATAAAAAATTACAGTAATACAAAATAATGACATAATATAACACCATGCTTTTAACCCCGAAGGGGTAGCATAGCGACATTATGCCACTGTACAATGTAACACTCACTTTTCACTATTTATGTTTTGAGTCCCATGTAATAAGAGGTGAGCCTATTACCATATACCGGGCACAATTCCAGACTCCGTGCTACTACTGTGAAATTTTTGTAACACCCAGTAATACTTTGACCGACCCGGAAATCGAACCCACGACAGCACTTGCGACCACTCAAGCCAATGAGGCAGTCAGGCAGGCAGAGCAGATAGACAAAATAATGAAAGAGATTAAAAAGAGTAAACCATGCGTTTCCAGTTAGTTCTTCTCCATATTTTATGTATTTATTTCCTTTGATACGACCAACTCCATACTTCACTGTTCAGTTTTAAATTTCTGTTGAACTTTAAAAAAGGAAAATATCTATAAGAAAGTTTACGTGACGCGGTTTTTCATACAAAAACTATAAATTTGTAGGTGCTCCAATGACTAATAATTATAATGTGTAATTAAAATTAACTTTGAAATAACAATAATAACATTAATTAATTACTCAACTAGATGTCGTAACAACAGCTATTCCAAGATGTTGTTCTCAAAGTACAAAGATACATTAGCTATTGTCATAGATGTGCGTCACACAATTCTCGCAATCATAAAGACGCAAGAACATTCTCAATTCAGTAATTCAAATAAACAACACAGTGGTATCCCAACTGACAAACTAACTAACTACACAGGATATATTACAGTGGACCAGTAGAATAAAAATCTATACTAATACAATACATGAAGCTGAGAAGTTTGTTTACATTTGAAATATGTATTACAGGTGAATAGGAATTATGAAGTTTGTTTGGTTGTTATTTAAAAGAACGAATGTCTTTATAATAACTATCGTGGGACATACTAAATTAACTAAAAATCGCGGGTTACTCACGTGAATATACTGAGAGAAGCTCTACTAGTTTCGAACCACAGAGGGGTTCTTCCTCATGACAAACTAAACAAAACAAAAGAGTAACCTATGGAGTTTCTTGCTCGTTCTTCTCCATAGGAATCTAAACCTTGGAATGAGCAATAGCTTCACTTTTAATTTTTTTTTTTTTGTTGACGTTCAAATGTGTCATTCTGGCCTAATTGAAATAAATGATTTTGACTTTTGACATGAGCAGGGTGCGCGGTCGTGGCGATGTCAGTAGACTGCGCGACAAGAACCCCTCTGTAGTTAGAAACTAGTAGAGCTTTTCTCAGCATATTCACGTGAGTAACCCACAATTTTTAGTTAATTTAGAACTAATGTCCATAACTATTTTATTTGTGTTGGACAGCCCATTTACCGAAGGTCATGTGCTATAAATATTACGCTGTTGTCAATAAGAGTCATCATTTCTGCTTCGACTGGGACTGAGCTGATTGCGAGCTAATATCGTTGAGGTAAAATGAATGACATGTTTGTACTGTATTAAAGTTCTGTTCGTTAGTCTCGCTAAAACTCGAGAACGGCTGAACCGATTTGGCTAATTTTGGTCTTGAAATGTTTGTGGAAATTCAGGGAAGGTTTAAGAGGTGAGAAAGTTTTTATGCGGTACGAAGTTTTGCCGAGTCAGCTAGTAGGTAATATATTCTTTATTTACTTACATAACACATTAATTTGACCCATTTTACGGTTATTTATCAATCTTTTCGTAATAAGAGACGAGATATAATAATAATCAATATAATAATAGATATATTCTCCGCGACTCGAGCGCACTCGGGTCACGGCATTTAACACGTTAAACCCATTGGGGTCACCGGTGACCGGCGGTAGCGGAGGATTTACCTTCAACAGTTTTTTATTGGCAGTTTGTTTTAATTTTTTTGTGTGTTATTGTACTTTGTGCCGGTGTGCAAATAAACAATTTTTCTTTCTTAGAAAAATTGTTTATTTGCACACCGGCACAAAGTTTATGCCAAAAATATTTAGACTCGATTAGGCACAAAGTTTATGCCAAAAATATTTGTGGTAGCACTACCGTCGCATTCATCGGAAAACTGCGTGCGTTTTTACCGATTTCAGAAAAAGGAGAAGGTAATATGTTCGGGTAATTAAAGGATAGGGATTAACGAGTTGTAAGTTTCCTTGCAACTGTTTGTAGCAACCGATCTGTGTTGAAGTGCGTTGCCAACCATATGCAGAAAACTTCACCCAGTTGTACAGTCTCTTTTCTGTGCCTTTAGGCTTAATTCATCCTGTCTCCTGCAGTAATTCACTGAGAGAAGTGGAAACTATCGTTTTTTTTTTGTTGCCGGAATCAAGACAGTTTTTTCAAGTCCCTGGGACGCTCCGGATTTCAGTGTTCCGGTGTTTTCATGGTTGTATCTACTGTAGATCCTGGCTTACAGGAGTTGCAGCGGTTTTGGAAGGTTGTGGCGGGCTTGTCTCATAAAAAAAGCAGAAAACTGTCCAATTGCCATTTTTGTAGCAGCAATTTTCCGTATAACATTAACTCATGTTCACACCTATGTATATACAACTAGTTATAGGAGTTACATAATCCTATGTAATATAACTCGCGAGATAACGGGTACCTGATAAAACGTTAGAAACTGTAGTTTGAAGTATTAAGTATTCGTAGTTTGGTAAATGATGAACAATTACACAGCATTTGAGTATAGAAAGTAATCATAGGTTTGTACCTATGATTACTTTACTTACTTACTCTACTTACTTTACAATTGAGTACTTACTATCTAGTCAAATTCAATACTTTTTTGAACTGTCAAAAACGACAGTTTTCTATGAATTTCGTACGAGATTATGAATTGTGACGTCACGGGTTTTTAACGTCAAACAGAACTGATATCTTAAAAAATTGCTAGTAATACTAAAATGAAGTTGGTCATAATCAATTATTGAAAGTGGTTATTTTTTAATATTTTATCTTAGTGAACAGTCGACATAATTTATTTTTGATTAAGTAAAGTACCCAATTCCGAGTATTTTCCGATTGCCTATCTCATAAATGTTGAAAATACCTATTCAATTATTAGTTGATAACTTTTAATGTATGTTTTTAAGTAAGAAAGAATCGATAAGTAAGTTTATTTCATGTACAAAATACGACAATATCATAAATTATTATTATTTAGTGAAATGCCGGTTCAATTTGTGTGTTCTAATTAAATAATGTAGGAAATAAACGTAAATGTAATTATTGTTATCATCGTTTTATCTTATCAGTTAATGAAAGGTACCTATTAGTTACCTAATCAACAATACCTATTATTTGATTTTATCTCTTGTCAAATATAAGTTCTTTCTATCATACACGTCACATGGATGTTCAGGCATTTATTCTTACACTAGATAAGTATTTTCATAATTCTTTCATAAACATCGTTTAAAAAAACCGAGTTCAACCGCCTCGTTTTTTGTAGTCGGTTATTTAATATACTACAACGTTCTCCTAAGTGTAACAAACAGTTTTCTGAAAACCGCATCAAAATCGATTCAGCCAATCGCGAGATAATAGCGCACAAACTGAGAACCTCCTTTTTTCTTTTTAAGGTTGGTTAATAACTACCGGCAACTACAGCATCTATACTAGTAACTTGATGGATACCTACTCAAGAAAATTGGTAAATGGAAAATTGGTTGTACTTACATAAAATAATTCGGCTGTTGCAAATTTATCATAATTATAATGCATCTTACAATATTTTTTTTCTACAATAACAGTCGTCGCACAGAAAAAAAGTAGATAAAAATGCAATCAAACATGGAATAAGATGCGATGTTCCATTTCATTAACAACTAAAGTTTAACTTATATTTTTCTAAAAGTGAACAGAAATGAGCTGATGATGATAATAATAATGGACTTACCTGTAAAAGGTACTCTAAACTTATAAGCAAGCACCCTGGATCCCGAAGAGCCGGCGTCGATGATGACCGCGTGATGATAGACACTCTCGTAGCCCAAACTCTTTGCGATGCCGTCCAACCATTGTGACTGGCCAGCAAACAGCCCTGCAACACAAAACCTCATGCTAAATACGATGAACACAGCCTACCTTTACCAACATAGTTATTAAAAAAAAGAAGTGTCATATTTCCCGCGCTTTTGAATTATTTATTAAAAGTTGTAAAGTAAAAAAGCTTTACACAATATTAGGAAAGTGTTTTGCTTAGTCATGTCGCTTTCAGTGTTATCCTGACAACCTGTTGATGTAAGTACACGAAAGACCACACTGATTGGTATAAGTTCGCGTATTATTTCGTACTTTTTTTAAATACGAATAACAATATAATTGTTGTACCGTTAAAAAAAAGGTTTTATCGGTTAAGCAGTTAAACTTTTAAGATTATGAACTTAATGGTCTGAATTCCGTAATTCGTTTTATGTTGGAGCCCATTTCTCGAGGAAAGCTATAGGCCATAAAGCATCTGGCTACGAGTGGAGCAGCGGTTAAAACTGACTGGAGTAGCTATTAACAAAATAAAACTAAGAACTAATAGTTCGTTTGTATAGATCCAACTACAAGTCTAGCAACACACTTCTGGTGTTGCAAACGTCCATGGCCAACACCTAGGGCTTACCACCAAAAAAATAACAATAATTTGTAATACGTTACATTACACGGTACCAAAATTTTATTCATCCTTACTAATATTATAAATCGGAAAGTGAGTTTGTTTGTTCCACTTTCACGCCGTAACTACTTAATCGATTGCTTTGAATTTTTGCAGAAGTAATGATAGAAGTCCAGATTAAATAATAGCGTACTTTTTATCCCGGAAAGAATTGATATTCCCGAGGGAAAACAAAAGTATTTGTATAGATGGCGCTATGTGTATTGGTATATGTCACATAGGCTATTTTTTATCCTTTTGTGACGCGAGTGAAGCCGCGGGTAAAAGCTAATTGTTAAATAAAAATAAGGAATTACAGCTTTTGTGGCGAAAGTCGGCGCATAAGGTTAGTACAAGATTATTATTATTATCTTATAAGTAAATTGACCATTGATAATAATTATAAATAAATAAGTATAGATAGATACAAACGTATGTGTACAGTGTACATAGTTACGTCTTAACCGTGACACACGATGCCATTTCACGCGAATTAAGTAATGATACAGAAAAAAATGTTCCGGAAATATGAAAACACATTACACTTCAATTTGTAAATCGCGCGTGAAATTACAAATAATTTTTTTACTCATAAATGGGTCTAAGATTACTTAGTTACACAAACATTTATTGGAGATTTATGTGTATTTTCTTTCCTCGTGTAAGAACAGCTTAAAACTCTGCATAATTAAAGAAATTAAGTTTAAATTATTCTCTATTTGAGCTAGTACCTAAGTAAGTTATTCTACTTTCTAAAACGTTTTAACAATCGACGAATTAAGAATTATCAAATAACAACGCTAACATATTCAACAAAATAACGAAACTAGAATAACAATGTACCCGTACTGTAGATAAATTATTGAGCTAATCATTACTTGTTTTACGTAATATGTATTTACGAAGCTACAATTTAAGGGAAAACTACATAAGGCATTTACTTATTGGAGTAGGTATTTAAAGTACATATAATCAAGTCATTGGGATGTTTCACTACTTAGTCATATTTATTTATTTTTTTAATGTCAAAAATGATAATTTTTCTGTGAATTTTGTATGAAAAAGTCACTTGGGTAGAAAAATACGAAAATTATGTATATCACCAAATCAATGAATGGAAGTGTGAATTTTGATTACGTATTCTTATCTATTGAGAAAAAAAAATGTCTGAGGAAACATGCCAATTGTCTTACTCTAAAAACTCCGAAATAACGAACTACAAAAATATACCTGATAAGAAATAGACTGTACGCACAATATTTGCTGTCCGGGTGTTCATTTCTCAAGCGTCGTAACACCTCCGTTTTCATAGATATGTATCTCTCTGCGGAGCAAACTCTACTGTATCCATTATATATAAAAAATATATAAAATACCATTTTATATTCATATACGCAGGTAAATACGAACTTTACGACTTTATTTTTAAAGTCGATTATAACAAAATTCATAATACAACGACATTGAAACTATATCGACTCGTATTTACGAAACTTGACTCAGTAAACCAGTTATGATATAACAGCCTACGTATAATGTATATTTATATATTGAATAGCTATGTATAATATACATAGTGTACATTATTATTTTTGGTTCACATTTCCGTGATAGCCTCGAGGAAAAACATTACGCTCTTGTTCGAAAACAGTGAAAAAAATGTGCGATATTTTTTTGTCGGACAAATTGTTTATTTTTTATTTATTTTCTATTCACACTTTCAAAACTGAGGAATATTGTACTTGTGTCTTGTTTACTTACTAGGCAGTAAGTAATCGTATATGTGTATGTATGGTGACAGTAAAGTGAAGTATATTTCGCAGTACCCCTACTCTACATGCAGGAGTCGTAAGAGCCGACTGTTCTGACTGACTATTACGAGCCCCGTGGCTAATTTATCGGATAGGCCCCCTAACGAGAAGTTCAGGTGCGACCCTCTGGACGGGGGCCCCCTCTTAGCTGGCAGCCTGTTTCATTTTGAGGACTTGCCACCCTATATAGTTTCGCCACTATCTACTACACACTGACAGAAACCAGGCAGTAGTACTCTGACGCCAGATGCACGAGAGTAGTGGAAGCTAAAGTATATACCTAACGGTCGTAACTATGTGGCGCTCTGTAGTTTCTGCCCTACTTCATAGGCAGGAGTAGGAATGGGATGGTTTTTTTAGTCAGGAAGAGTCTGACACCCCTCCCGCCTCACCTAGGCGGGAGAAGTCATTGGACGATTTTCCCCCTTCTTAAAAAAACCCATAGGACAAAGGCGTATGTTTCTATAGTCCGTACTTCGACAACAAGACACTAACTTTTCTACATAATTGTTTATCTTTAAACCTTTATCTAACTACTTAGTAATTTTAATGTGGTTCTCGATAGCAAATACATTATAGATGCCTGTTTAATTTATGATAATGATTTTAGAATTTTGTAAAAATTGTGTGTTTACAGCATATACGACTGTTGCGACGGATGCCAAGAATAGAGGATGATGTTTTCATCAAAACAGAGGATGTTTCATTATTCGCTACCGATTGAGAAAAAGTAATGACTATGTACTTTTTATAAGACTTTATAGAAAATAGTATACCAACCAAATATAATGTATAAAACAAAAACTATAGTGATCTTTATCAAGTGGCTAGCGACTGCCGATGATATTAGTCAGGATCCCTAGTCTTGGGTTAGATTATCAGGTCGAGTGCAGTTTACATTATGCACCTCTGTTTACCTTTACAAATAATAAAAGACGTTTGACTATGGGGACTACCGTTTTTCTGGTAACCAGACGGCACAAATGTAGCTAGTAGGTTTTTTGTCCAATCACAGCCAGCTGTCAAATATTGAACATCCAATGTAATGTGACACTAGCTCATTCTCCACGACGAGCACGATTTGGTGAGCAAGAGTACAGTAACTCCCATTAACCAGTCTATTTATTTCATACACATCTCTCGTTCATTAATTTCCACGTTCAAATTCACTTAACACCAGTATGCTCCAATGACCTTACGTGTCAAAGTAATTAGTCCACCGTGCATGAAGGGAGAACAAAAAGGATGGGTATGTACGCACATATATATATTGTGTACCTATTGACCATGACTAATAAAGAACCAAACTGTTTGAAACAACTTGGTAAGGAAGATAATAGGACATAAATTTGAATAATCTTTGTAACTGGGTACAGTAGAGCATAAGTTTTACGACCGAAATGTTTAATGTATCTAAGTGTGGGAGAGCCATGCTTCGGCACCCATGGACTGGCTCGACCGGAGTGATACCACGGCCTCACAAAAAACCGACGTGAAACAACGTTGCGTTGCGTTTCGTCGTGTGAGTGAGGTTACCCCTTCCCCAATCTCCCCAATCCCTGAATCCCCAACAATCCTAAAATTGCTAAACCCCAAAAGGTAACGCACTTGTAACGCCTCTGGTGTTACAGGTGTCAATGGATGCGGTCGATTGCTTACCATCAGATGATCCGTCTGGTCGTTTACCGGTTTATACCATAAAAAAATATTATTCAGTTTATATCTATACCTACATATATATAATTAATTATAATTGCTTTAAATATAGCTTAATTCGATTATGTAGTACCTTTTATGATTAATGTTGTTTGTTTGTTTAAAAATAGAATGAGCTAATCTTATCTTCAAGAAATCTATTATTAAGGATGACTAAAAATAATTTCAAAATCTCCTTAATCTGTGTAACAGTGTCATCATGAAATATAGGTATAATGATGAATGGGACAAAATTACATCGACCCCGGAACTAACATTATAAGCAAATTATTTTACGATAACGATATTATAAAATTTTAAATCATTCACAATCGAAATCGATAAGAAGTTTACAATCATGTAGTACAATGACAGTTTATTTTTTAAACATAATAATACCATTGTTGCCAACGTCAATATTTTCGCAACACGTAACTTCACTGAGTAGTTGTCTTGGAAATAAAAATAAATAAATAAATATCAACCTTATAGCTGTTTCACTGCTGATCAAATGCATCTTGTCTTATGGATCTTTAATGGTTATTTGTCTCATTGTCTGTTTTTTTTTTAATCCTGACTAGCCATAGGAGGAGGCATAGAAGCCTCCTTTAAGGTTTAGAAGAGAGTAAAGTCCCTGGGTCCCCCACTCCCTGGGTGAGGCGGGAGAGAGTACCAGACTCTTACTAACGTAGGGGCTCAATCGAAGATTGAAGATCATAAAATAAATGAGAGATGCGATAGATTCAGGCCACCTGCAAATCGTGGGAATTATGGCAAGGTCCATCTAAAAAGATGATTTTCTTCAACAATGGATGTACAGTCATCGGCAGTTATTTAGTATGCAGGTAATAAAATAAAACTTTTCTCAGTACCGAGATCGTAGCTATCAAGCCAAGGATACACTACCAGCGACGTGGGGTGAAGTAGCGCGACGATGTCGACATGTCTGGCAACATCAACGTCACTGTAGACATAAGTTGCACGTTGTCACCGTATAAGTCAGGCGACATCGGCCGGCTTCGCCCGACATGTCGGTGTCACCGTATAAGTCAGGCGACATCGGCCGGCTTCGCCCGACATGTCGGTGTCACCGTATAAGTCAGGCGACATCGGCCGGCTTCGCTCGACATGTCGGTGTCACCGTATAAGTCAGGCGACATCGGCCGGCTTCGCTCGACATGTCGGTGTCACCGTATAAGTCAGGCGACATCGCCCGGTTTCGCCCGACATGTCGGTGTCACCGTATAAGTCAGGCGACATCGGCTGGCTTCGCCCGACATGTCGGTGTCACCGTATAAGTCAGGCGACATCGCCCGGTTTCGCCCGATATGTCGGTGTCACCGTATAAGTCAGGCGACATCGGCCGGCTTCGCCAGACATGTCGGTGTCACCGTATAAGTCAGGCGACATCGGCCGGCTTCGCCTGACATGTCATATAGTTAATAACCAAGCCATATCTTTTGTAAACATTGGTCAGTTCAGTAGCAAACCAATGGTTATTATTGTCTCTGTAAATAACTGCATGTGCTGACTGTAGGTACTAAAGTTACTTGAGTCCCACAAGTTACACAATACATGAAAAATTGAAAATAACTCTTTGGCTATCATGACCGCACAGTGATTGCAATTTTCTTTTTTTTTCAAGATATATGTACATTGCTTTTACTGTTATGGTAATTATAGGCGCATCGGAATGCTAAGCAAATCAATTCGTTATGATATGACACCCATACGTAATAAAAAAGAGGTGGTGGATTCTGGTGGCAACAATCACATTTTTTTAAGTATTTGTGTCGCGGGTCCGTTTACAAACTTACAAGTTCACATACACCACCCAGACTAGGAATAATTTGTTTCCGAAAATCGCGAATGAGAAAAAACGGGATAATGCATATGAAGAAGGAGGCCGGCAATAAATTGATTAAAAAAAATGATACTTTACTATTTAAAACATTAATGTGCAGTTAAATACTTGAAGATTGAAATAAACAGACAAAGAAGTAAGTAGCTATGAGATTTGTATGATATTATACCAAAGAATACATATATCCTAAAATAAAATCACTAAACAGAAAACTAGATAAGTCTCTGTAACTTAGAATAATTTGTGTCATTCAATCTATAATATAAAAATGAATTGCTAAATGTGTTTCTTTAATTGCAAATCTCCAGAACCACTTAATCAATTCCAATAATCTTTTTATTGGGCATGTTATTGTTAGAAGGTTCTTATGTAAGAACAAAGTCACAAACATTTTCAAGTTCGCAGACATGCTAGCTTACTATAAAACTAGTGTCCATGACAACAACAATATATACATTATGGGCTCACATGCAAGTAATAATAAACAATAAAAGTATTTGATGAGACATGCAAACCACATAATAAATGCCATACAATCACAACACCTAAAAAGAAACATGTGCATATCATGCCTCTTTGGTAGCATAAAAAAGTTAATTGTTTTTGTTTTTTTCTGTCATAGATAATCATTTTTTTTATTTATTTCAACAACAAATGCATGCATTTAATTTCTTTTACTCAGTCAATTATGTTCATGCTTTTATAGAGACAAATAAAACTTTTGCATAGAAATAACTGCATAAGCTCTTTTAGGGAAGAGTGGTAATAAATAATATATATCTTTGAGATTACATGCTCGTCAATTTATTTAAATAATTAGTCTTAAAATCACAAGTATGTTTTGTTTTGTCCAACCTGAAGTATGGGCAAGTTTCAATTCAAGTAATACACACAAAATAATTTTGTATGTGTCTGTTGCTTTTCTTTACTCCTACAAAATCTATGCAACATTTTGTACACACATTCATAAACATTATTCCAAATAAAAATTACTTACCCAAAAAGTATGTGATGCATAAGGCCAATATTATGAGGAAAATAAAAATCTTCTTCAATTTCCGTGTGTGCTTTATGGTCCTACTTCTAACGTTGATATGTGGAGCTGCGGTATCATCTTTTAACTGAAACACAACATTTATTACACTTCTTACTACTTTTTTTATTATTTTCTGCATCATAACAACACTTAAAACACGAGTCTACTGCATCTACAGATTTTTTTTAACCAGATATTTTTTAATAACATAGAGAATGAAACATGTTAACCACAAAGTAATAGGAAGTCTATAAAAAAGTAATTGGACATATATACAAGGTAAATAAAATTGTAAAAAACCTGCATGTAGTTTGATAACATTGTAACGAGAGTTTGGACGAAAGTACGACTGGTGGCTACCAAAATATTTGACCAAAAATACTCATACAGGTAACAGAATGTTTATTGTATAAAAACTGTGACAGTATGTATGTTTTTTCTTAATATTTGTTAGTATTTGCTTTTTTTCGGCTGAAATACGCACCTCTAAGTATCTGTACGTGCTGAATTTTCCCATGTTGACTTAAAATAAACATCACAACCAATAAACTAGATAAGTCAATACTGTTTTAGCTGAAATATATCTGGCCATACGAGGACATTGTTAAACATTTATGTTTTTTGAAAAGAACAGGAGAAACAACGTCACATTAACATTAATAACAATTTTTGGTTGTCAATGGTCATAGTCAAGTCAGACAGATTTGCTCACTGACTGATTGACTGATTGGAATGGCAATTGGCAATGGCAGTTGGCAGTAAAACCGACAACTGTCATCTGTCAAATAGAGTTGTGCTAAGAATAATAATCGAATGTGTTATTCTAATTTGATTCCTAATCGACTATTTGGTTCAAAAAGCTTTATTATCATTTCATTTCATATTCATATCATAACTGATCGAATTATTCAAGGAAGACAATGGAAAACATTTGGGCAAAATTATTTTTATTTGATCAACATTCAGGAAGGTATTGTGTTGAATGAGTTTATGCATAACAAACTTGTACCCAAATTCTGGAAGAAGTAATTTTAAAATGAAGCAAAAAAGAGTACTCATTTGACAAATTGGGGAGACCTCAAACCAATATACCATCATCTGGCAACACTCACCGACTCTCACGATCACGACCATCGTATTTTGTCGGCTTTGTTGTCCTTGGTTTTATGTGGTACAATAAATATTTTTATATCGAAAAATAATAATTATAAATGCTCGTGGATGTGTTGTGTTCTTCTGGGTTCCCCAACTTCCACGGTCATAAAGTAATTCAACATTATTAGTTTGTTCAAGTGCGACAATTTAAATAACATGACGTATTTAAATGCAGTAAAATTCGATGTTTAAAAGTACTACCTACTTTATATAAACTAGCATAGTAACTAAACGTTAGTTATCATACTATAGACTAAAGTTTTTAAACTTCGGTGTCGGTATTCGAAAAAGTTAATCAACAATTTATAATTTTATTAATAAAAAAAATCCATAAAAGGATTCCAGTTGTATGAGAAAGGTAAGTTTTATAATTTATAGATACTTTTAAAATTTTTAATACAACAGGTATTTAGGTATTAGGTTTATTGTATAAAAATCATAATAGGTACTATTGAAAAACATAACCTCAACCTAAGTAGCAAACATTAAAATTCTTGTCACAGAAAACTTAAGAAAACCTTCAAATCAATAAATCATTTCAACTATGGATGTGATAATTGTGCAATATATGTATATAATAATAAAGTCCAACTCACCTTTCTTTGGCGAATCTGCATTTTTTTTTAAATTTAGGTATTTATTACTTCCGCAATAGACACTCAACAATTTATAAGTTCCGGTATGTAGTTAACTATTGTTTTTTCACTAATTTTTAATACATAAAATTCACCTTATTAGACACCTCATTGACAACTAGTTAGAATATGAATTAACTTTACATAAGCTTATCAAGTAATAATTATCGTAACCTTGATATAAGTATTACGTATGTACGTATTTTTATTGTAATCACAAGTACATAACAGACGTGCGCATCACATAACGCCACAGACTATACAAGCGTATAATATACAAATAGACAATTTGGTCGGACAAGTTTACTTCGGTAAATAGTAATGATGACTGCGCGTCATTGGTAGCACTTTATAACGGGCGAGTTTATCGTTAATTTATCATGACTTTGTACTTTTCTTAGTTTAGAATGAGATTATCGTGAAGTAGGTAGCCGTCTAGTAATGTTAGAATTCAAACGTAACGCTGATAAGATCGGCCAGCAGATAGGCAGCTAGTTTATAGAGAAATTAAATGATTTTGACCTTACATGTCAACTCGATTTAGTAGTTGGGGAGTGTTGAAGATATTATTATATCTATTTTGATAAATAAATAGGTAGGTAGGTACATCACACATTTGTCTATTTAAAAAAGAAAATGCATGATACCGTTGAATTTATGTATACGTTTACGTGGGAATTAAAAATTACTTATTGTATTTGAATAGAAAATTCGTACCTAAACAAAACCAGTTTTCTTATGCCTAAACATTTAAAATGTAAATGATAATATATTTTCTGAATGGTACCTCTACCTAATATGTTTGTTAAAAGCAACAACTTTAATCTAGAATAAGAAATAAATAATAAAAGTTAGGTCGGTACTTCGCAGATTGTACCTACTTTTATTTGCCTACCCTACATAACTGTTATTTGTATAATCTTGACACGTGTAAAATAAAACCATCTGTATTATTTTTATTTTTCTTCTTGAATGGATCTGTTTTATGTTGGTACCATCTATACCCGCCGTCACTGTCGTAGCATTTAGTGAGTTTATTTATAGTATTCTTTTTGTATAAAACAAATGTTTTTAGTCTTTACCATTCACGGGACCACAGGCTCCCGGTCATTTGGGAGGCGTACGAGGGGCCGAAGCCAACTGCGCAGAGGCCCTTAAACCAGACAACCTTAATCTAAAATTAAATGTAATGGACACACAAACCGGCGACTATCCCTGTATGCACTATGGAAATGCACTCAAGGACAGTCCCCGGTTAGTATAGAACTATTGTGAATAATGAAAAAAATGTAAGGCTATGGATGGAATGGGCTAAGGGGGAAGCCTTTGTCCAGCAGTGGACGTCTTCCGGCTGTTGATGATGATGATGATGATGATGGATGGGATGTTGTGGACGGGTAAAATGGGAACTATGGATGACTATGGCACCTGCCGAAACAATGTAATTATCTTTTTTCTATCGTTTTTATGTCGATTGGCGATTATTTATTTAGTACTGATGCAATAAGATGTAAGAACATCATGTATTGCGTGATACTAATCTCAAAAATGACGCAATAAATCGATCTTTTGTGGCTAAAGGTAGTAACTAACTAAAGTAGGTAAATACGTAAAGTACAAACAAGGTGTTTATATATACTAGCTAATTTGTACATAACACGAAACTGTGCAGGCCAAAGATATCGGAGGCCTTGACATTAAGTTTAAAAAAAACAGCTCGCTAATTATACCTCATCATCTATAGATACATACGTATAATAAACCTGGTAGCTATAATTTTGGTGGCACTACATGGTCTCCTAATTTAAGAAAAAAAAGTTGCGCCTATTCTTGTAAAACTTGTCCAAAGATGTATAAAATTGTATCTGCAGGGTTACGTCGGTTTATAAAGAGACGTAGTATGCTTAAACTTAAATATGTAATTATATTATTAATGTACATAATTACGGAATCAAGCACCTACTCATTCGCTTATCTTAATAGGTGTAGGTATAATTATATACTCTTACATTATTATAATGTAAGAGTCCAATCGGCCAACACCAAGACTAATTCAAAAGCAAGCTGGGTAATACACCTACAAATACAAATCATCACCATTTTTTAAGGGGGGAAAATCATCGAATGACTGCTCCCGCCTGGGTGAGGCGGGAGGGAGTGTCAGACTCTTACTGACTAAAAACCACCCCGTTCCTTTTCCTGCACGTCGAGCCGGAGCCCCGGTAACCCGTTAGGTTCTCCGCGACACAAATAACTATACTAAGAATTGATCACCATCAGCACTCCTATTTTACAAAGACTAGGCAGACACAATGAGCTCCTCCCTTATCCGTTCATGTACAATGCAGGTATTATATCTAACCGTAAACCTGCCCATAAAGGAGATGTCGTAATAAAAATGTGGACTATTGTGATTGTACTGACTCATTTCATATAAAGTTTTCTTCTTTCTTGTGTCTGCCGAAGTTCGGGATAAGCCATAAACATCTTAGCTAACTTACGTTCCGAATCAGGCAGACTATCACTGCAGGACTATCATGGTTGACGAGAGTCAAAGCATTTATTTCAGTTAATCCTTAATTAGGCACTTTTAAAACGTCGAAAATTGAATTGTCCGTCCGTCTGTCTGTCAGTGAAGCTAGGCGTGGTTATGCTCTTGTTATCCCAATATCATAGTCATAAATGCATATTTTACCATTTTATAGAGTACCATTTCTTCGTCGTGCGAAAGACGAAAGGTATATATGTTCTGTGGTATTGTCAGATACTGACTTAAAATTTTGCTTTTATGTCTTCTTTTATTATTGCACATCAATTAATTCATACTTAGTTTCTATATTCAGTGATTACTAATATCAAATCTATTTCCTTTATACCATAATTGCAATTTCATCAAAAGCCTATAGATACCCACTGCTGAACAAATCCTCCTCTCACATGGAGATGGTTTAAGCATTTAATCACCACGCTTGTACAATGTGAGTTGGCGATTTCGAATTTATAATTAGAACTTATAAGCCCAGGTTTCCTCACGATGTTTTCCTTCACCGTTAATATAACAACAGCCTCCATAAATTCAACTTTACTCATGTATTAAATGTGTTAAATATTTATAAGCTAGGTATAAAGATTATTTCATATACAAGCGGACTCGGCTAACTTCGTACCGCCTAAAAATTTTTTTCTCCCCTTTGAAACTAGTGTTGCCCAAATGCAAGAACAAGACGAGACTTAGCCAGTCTTGGTCTTGGTCTTGCGCCAATACACCTGGTCTTGGTCTTGGTCTTGGTCTTGCAGCAAGAGTCTTGCAAGTCTTGCAATTACCTATTAGTCTATTACTATTTATTAAAGTTTACTTTAAATCTTAGAAAAACGTATTAGAATTGGAACATTGTGAGCTTGAATTAACATAGCCATAGTAAAGATCAAGCAGATTAATAAATAACTGAAGATTAAGAAATATAATGACTAAATGTACAATAATAGTACCTAAGTAATTACTTTAAAACCATATAAGTAATCAATATTATAATATACCGTATGTAGAAAACTCTTATACATTTATTTATACAACATACTTGTTATCGTCTATACTGACAATGTACAAAAAATGAGCAAAATCGGCCCAGTAGTTAAGCCAAAAAGTGCATTTTTCTCTTTGAGAAAACGTAAACACTCTTTAAGTTCATTGACGCAGGTCAATGCACTCCAATGCGCGACGTTGCCA